TATTTAATATTTTAAATGGTTATTTTTATTATTAAGTATTAACCACACCCACGACTCTTACCCTCACCCACACCCACACCCACGACCCACGACTTGTACCCACGACCCACGACCCACGACCCACGACCATTAGTCAAACTCACAAAAGGGTCGCACTTGTCGCAAGCACGCGATGACAGATTTTATGTCCAATGTAAACACCAAAAGCGTAAGTGCGACCCCTGCCAATGCTGGCCTCTTAATGGAGGTATAAAACTATGTAAATAGTACACTTGCGACAGCAAAAAGGTGGCCGCGGCCACTTAATAGAGGTGGCCGTTGAAAAGAGGTATCAAATAGAGCAGTTAACTGACAAATAAATCGGGACTTTAGAAAGTGGCCGCACAATGGAGGGTGGCCGCTTAATAGGTGGCCGCTTAATAGAGGTCGGACTGTACTTGAAACTGAAAGAATTGTGGAATAATACCTCTCATAATAGATGGTTTAACGTATATTACAAGTGGATATTTTGCTCATTACATCTTCGGGGCTAGGAAAACTTTGGCACTTATTACAAATAAGTTGTATTCATTAACACTGGGGCATGTGAGATACAATGAATATATGAAGTTCATATATTTAAACTTCATATATTCATTGTATTTCATTTATCACTTTCACGGGTTTATTACGAATCAACTTAAAGGCCTGCTCCCAGTTGGTTCGTTAGCTCAATTGGTAGAGCGCTGCACCAGTATCGCAGAGGTCAGTGGTTCGAGTCCCGTACAGGCCTGAATTTTTTCAGGTCTGATTTTCGCTACTGCATAAATAGCGCCATCTACTGAGATGATCGTGCATCATACGTACTGGGGTATGTATTGCTTTGTTTTTGAGACCCCAGTTTTGTTTTATTTAACTAATGGATTGAGAGAGAAACAAAAACCAATCCCATTCTAAACTGAGTGATCTTCAAAGGATTTGGGAAAGATGTTTTGTAGATGTTATGTAAGAGTAACGAAGGTACATGATGCAAGTTGCTATTCCAAAGTAATGAATTCATGACCAAAGTATTATTGTTGAGTCAACAGCAAGGAGAGTTTATGCAATTCTAAGATTTAGGCGATCACAGACAATTGACCGTTTAATTCTCCTTACACGGAAAATAAATTGCTCTCGGTTACGATTCACATAAAAAATTTCGGTTACTCTTGATAAATTAATTATGTTGTGAATTCAATCGACCATTTCTCCGGAAAACCATTCTTTCTCCTCACACTGTACACGATAATTTTGAACACTCCACTACTGCTAATGTTTTCCCAGTCCAGGATTACCATATATTTTTTAATCGTTCCCTTTTAAACCGGGTTGACTTTATAAGTTCCTACTGATCTGCTGCAATGCAGAGACAAACATCATCTTTCATACCTTTAAGATTTGTCCTCCATCAGGGTATCTTTCCAAGATACTTTTCAAAAGGTGGGTCAGCGGAGGTCTCCTCTGGCCATAGGACCTCCCTTTTACTACTCAGAAACAAAATCGTTGCAAGGATTAGCAAAACGAAACTAATCAGTGTAAGCGTAACAACTTATAAACATAACATTACCTCTCGAACGAGCCAAATAGTAAATTTTATTCTTGAATCATCTCTTTTTTTTTCCTTTTAGGATCTCTATGAAAATTCTTAACAAGATGTGCATGGTTTGCACTCACCATAGTGACTACGTATACCATAAGGCTCTGGTTATATTACCAATCTGTTGGAGAGTTTACATTCTGACAACATTCCGAACTTAGGCGACCTCTCAAGATCATGAGTTTTCCAAATTTATAACATTGGCATGCATAGAGTTCTTTTTTTGGATGGGTGGGTTGAGGTGCGACACAATGCAACTGTTATTTTAAAAAAGCATTAATTTAATGCCAGTTATGTTTTGCGACCAGCAGTGAAGAACACAGCAAGGAATTATAGTTTGTAACTGACACTTAAAATATTATCATTGTTCAAAACGAACTCCTTCTATAAACCCTTTCACTCTCAGGAGTGATTAACATGTAACTTCACCCCCCCCCATCCANCCCGCCTATAATATCCAAACAGAAGCCAGCAAACAGGTGATGGGAAAAATCAAACTTATCAGTTAGAAGTTGTTATCTTGATCTAACAACAGATTCTCTGAGCTTATTTACAAGGGAAATGTGTAGCGGGTGGATGAGAGATTTAACAATCACATCTTGGGAGTCCAAGCATTGACTGCATAAGGGTTTTTCTAAAAACCCATGCCAACATTTTTCTTCTATTACATTTGTCAATAACAAGTTTTGATTTGAGTTTTCGAATTACCTTTCCCTTTCTCTAACTTCGCAACCTCTATCTTCTTTTTCCTTTTTTCCAAATGTGGTTGATCCTCAGAACTGATTAAGGGTGACTGAGAGCTTAAATCATCTTAAATAAAAAGTACGAGAAAACACATTCGTGTTAACATTCACTTCAAACTACATTTTCAGTGAACAGTCCAAATCTTGGATAACCAGACTAACGAGGATCGGCTTGAAAAGTCCAGATAATAGAGAGTCCGGAAAATCAATAACATGAATATTCGTGAGCCAAAAATAAAATCGAATAAGTTAAAAGAAGTTACATATCCATATCATCAAGATTTAAAGTACAGTCTCATTTAAATCGGGGAAGGCTAAGCAATTGAGACAAGTAACTATGTAAATGTATCAGAAAATACTGTTTAAACTCAAGATGTTATTCATGAAGAACATTTAAAAGCAAAGAAACTTATATTTAAAATGGCAGTCAACGCAGAAGGTAATTACAGCTTGCTGATCATTTCAACCTCCGCCAAAAGAGCAACCATATGGCATAAACAAACAGATGATAGCAACGAGGTCCTCAACAAGGACGTGAACCATTTCACTAGGTAGATGACCTCACAGTTCTTTGTAATTGTTATTCTTAGTGTGCGTCAATGTTGGGTTGATTCCACTGCAACATTTTGCAGCACCCTAATGCCATAACATGTGTAGCCACGAGAGTTATTTTTTATCAGTTCTGTCGTTCGTCTTTGTTAATTGTAATTAGCGTAAATAGTTCTCGTCTCGATAGTTCAGTTCTGTATTTATTAGTTTGTATTTTTTCGTGCTTTCAAAATATAAATTAAGTTTGTCAGCGTTGTTTCATGTAATCACCTATTGTTTTAGCCTTTATCCGCTATATAACATCGTAGTTAAAATTTTTATTCAGTCGTTGTTATTCCGGAGTGCCGTACAGATCTTGTAAGTAGTTACGCTTTCGTTTGTATTTACCTGTGTTTTTTCGTATTCCTTTCGTTGTATTTTAGTTTCGTTGGGTTTAAGTTCGCATTGTTAATTCTGTATTTTTTTTTTTTTTTATGTACAAGTGAATCGTCGAGATTAAAAAAGATACGCATTTCAAACTGTGACGGAGTTGCAGTTACAACATGATTGACACGAGAGACCTCACCCTGACACTCTGGTTGTTGCAAACATACTTCTATGCTGTGATATGATTGGTGTGAGATGCATGCCCTACTGCGGCAATCTGATTGGTGTAAGATGTATACCCTAATGCAGTGATCTGTTTAGTGCAAGATACATAGCCTAATGCAGCGATCTGATTGGTGTGAGATACATACTGTAATATTTTTCATGACAGCAGTAAACAACACAGGAAGAGATGACAGTTATTCAGTGACTCTTCACAAATTATCATTGTTCAAAACAAATTCCTTAGATTAACCCTCTAACTTCCAGACATCATCAGCATTTAACTTCTCCCTATAATATCCATGCATTATCCAGCAAATAGGTAATGAGAATAGTCAATGTTATCAAGTAGTTTCCATCTTTATCAAACACAAAATTCTCGTAACTAATTTACATGGAAATGTGTTGCAGCTGGATGGGAGATTAAACAATCAGATCTAAGGGAGATAAAGGTTGACTGTGCAAGGGTTTCTGTAAAAACCCATGCTAAAATTTGTTTTATTACATTTGTCAATAAGAGGTTTTATTTTGAGTTTTTGAGTTACCTTTACTTTTCTCTGACTCCCCAACCTCTACCTTCTGTCTCCTTTTTTCCAAATGTGGTTGATCTTCAGAACTGATGAAAAGTGACTGAGAGCTTAAAGCATCTTGAGTTAAAAAAGGAAAAGAAAACACATTTGTGTTTACCATTCATTTTCAGCTTACAGTTGAAACCTTGAATATCCAGACTCATAAGGAATAGCTTGAAAAATCCAGAAAATTGAGGTCCAGATAATCAATGATATGAATATTAAGGAAGGCAAATCTGGATCATCAAAAAATTCTGGATAATCAAGATTCAGATAATCAAGGTTTGACTGTATTGCAGAGATCTAATTATTCTAAAGATACACCATATTCATAAATCTTTTGTTCATAATCCCTCCACTAAAATCAAGGCTGACTAAAACTACTTGATTCCATTTTAATTTTGAGTTACCCTTTTTTAACTCTCAACCTTTTGGTGTGTCTTACAACCAAGTATTTTCATGTAATTTTCAGTTTGTGAACTTGGCTTGACTAAGTTGTTAAGTTTGGGGTGCATCTTATAACCAAGTACATCCTATAACTGACAAACTACAGTAATACAAATAAAATAAAACAAACTCACAGAAAATGAGCACTTTTTAAGCAATGATGGCAGGTTGGTGCCACCAGTTTTATTTTTAAATAACAAACAAATGGACAAACAAAACAAATTAATAAATGAAGAGAATTGAACCAACTCATAGTGAAACTATAAACTGAGGCAGACCAATATCTAAAGTCAACAAATCACCTCTAGCATTGTCAGGACTTTCATACTTTTTTTAGTCAACAAAAGCATATTCAGTGTGACAATGAGTTCTGTCTTGATCAGAAACTATATGTATATCTTAAAAACTCAGTGGAACTCCATGTGGAAAGAGTGATGGACTGTGTCCAAAAGACTTTTCGTATATTTTGTGAAAAGATGTCTTATAACTTTCTGTTCACTAACCTCTGAAAGCAACTCTCTCAAAGTAAACTTTCCTTGCATTGTACTCTTCTATGTCCATGGTTGTCTTCAGTTTCAGCTCAGCCAGGTTCAGTTCCTTCAAGATCTTTTCAGTCACAAAACAATTTTGAACCACTTCACCAAGATGACCACATGAATAATCTGTCCACAATTCCTCCAAGATTTGGAGAGATTCACACTTCACTGTTATCATTAAACTTCCTACAGAGACACCTGTAATGATGACCCTCATTTCTCTCATATATTCCTTAAAATCACTAAGCTCTTCACTTGACTTTGGTGGCTTAACCTGGAGGTAATTCATAGCAATTGAGCACAGGACTTTCTTTTCGAGTGCTTGAGGATCTTCTGTTCCTGAATAAGACACACCACCTTCAGTAGGTGATGCAGCAGATGCCCTCTGGTATTGATCTTCTGGGCATCCTCCAGCCTCTGTTGCCTAGGTTGTAGTCTGCCCATTGGGTTTCAAGCTACCCACATCAACATTAATGTTCAAATCACCATCTGTTGAATTATAACAAACAGTCCAATTTGATCCCACTTTCCATTTTCTTTTTCATCTCTTAACTATTTGACCATTAAAATGTGATTTAAGCATAATGATATCAAACATACTGCTTGTTTCAGTTAATTTTGCCAGGTTAGCTGATTCCATTTGATGATCAAAATTCTCATTGATCTCAATATGATTACAATTTACAACATGAAAATATCTGACAAGTGCAATAACATTCGCACATTTACAGTGCATCTGTGAGTCTAACAAAGAACCAAGTTTTTTTGGAAAAATCCATTTTTCAGGATTAAGCAATCAAATAGGTCTATTTAATGTAAAATCAGGTGAAAAAGTTAGGGTTAGGGTATCTTTTAGGGTTAGGGCTAAACTGAATTTTGATAAAAATGATGTTAAACTTCTTTTGCTTCATTTTTCTTTTTCAAGACAAATCTCATGCATTATAATTCTCAAACAAAGAATAATACAAACCAAAAGTAGAAAAATAACAAAAAAAGGAAACCATGGATACCAAAATTATGTTTAAAATCCAACCAAATAAAATTTAATCATAAAACAATGAAATTTCAACTTGCACAAATGTCATGTTTTTACTACTGAAGACTGAGAGTGTTTTTTAAATGTTAGGTTTCAACCTTTGGGCATTACCGGGTAGTTAGGTTTCATATGATTCTAGGACCAGCTTTGATCAGAAAACAACTGTTCTTGAAAAACTATGTGAGCAAAGCCATTAGTAAAAGCATCATGTATTCCATTACATGTATACTAAAGTTTCCAATTCATTAAAAATGAATTATTTTGAGCTGCCAAACAATGGGCGTAAATATTATAAATTACACTTTAAATGCCCATTTTGAGATTTAATCAGGTTTTAAAACTCTGCTTACTGATGAAGTTTAAACAGCAGTCTTGTGGTTTGTTACTCCAGTTTTAATGCTGGAAAATTGTTACATGAACAATACACTTGCTTGCTTTAGTCATTGAAATAGTCATAATATCACCTCTATGACACTATGCTTTCTCAAATATTTACCTATATTTTTTACATTAGCCATCTTTCAGTTATCATTTCTGTTTAATTAGCCAAGGTTAACAAAGTCTTCAGTGCACTTGTGGAAAAGATACAGCCCAACTTCAAATCTGGTAACTGTAACACTGCAGGGTTTTCTTGGGTTTGCATGATAATTATTTTACATTAGACTTACTATGGAAAATCTTACTGGTGAAGAATATTCAATAGAGATTCAATAGCATGAGAAGTTGACATGATAAATGCAATATATGCAGCATATATTGCATTCAAAGTCTGCCTACTTTAGTTTTCGTGCCACTTTATCCATGCAGTGTTCTCAAAATTTTGCAAAATCAGAGAGAAGTGCAGTCTTTTGCAAATTTGTAAAAAATTGTACAATAAACAATAACTGAATTCAGTTTCCACATGATATTATGAATTATCAAACTTTTTGTCTGTGTTATCTGCATCAGCCTTCAGCTTCAGCTTCAGCAGATAACTCAGACCTTGGTTTTGATATTTCATGAGATCATACTAAACCTCATCCAATAATATATCTTATTAACCAAGCGCAAGGGCCGTACTGGGAGAATATTGGCCCAAGGTCTTGACAGTATGGACCAAGCGCAGCGAGGTCCATACAAAAAAGACTAAGGGCCGATATTCTTCCAGTATGGTCCCGAGCAACCTTGGTTAATAAGAGATTTATCATACAACTGAAGTTCAAAGGGACACAAGTGCGGTATCATTGGGGACCATTCTGGACAGTGCCCGGTCCAATACTTAGAGAATATTGACCGGCAATAGAGCATTTTGATTAGTTGATCTTAGTTATAGGCCCTCTGACTGCCCGAATTGTGTAATAATTGCTAAATATCAGTATTCATTCTTTCTTACGTGGCTCAAATAAACCTAAAATTTCATAACAACCAATAAATGTAAAATAGCAACAAATGAGTAAAAGCAAAACTACAAGGGGCTCACCCTTTGTAACTTTTTCAATCATTTTACTGAATCTCTCACATTCTTTTCTCCAAGAGTAAACCTCCCTGTAATTCTCTCGCAGCTTCATGGCATTGGCTCTTCTCTTTTCTGCACTTTCTTCGGATGTGTCTCTAATCCTCTGTGCCCATTCATCTGCATCCTCATCTGATTCAATAATAACAGTGTTTCCACCTTCTACTTCTTTCAAAGCCTCAGCCACTCCAGATTCACCAGATACAAGAACAGGAACTCCAGCAGATATGGCCTCCAAGGCAACCAGCCCAAAGCCTTCAGTAGGGGAAGGTAGGGCGACCAAATCTGACTGGTAGAACATCATCTTGAGTTCCTCTGGATCACTGCAATAACCACGGATGGTTAGTTGGTTGCGGTTGATGTGAGTGTTTTCAAGAAACCACTTCTCAACTTTTTGATGTTCACCAGGAGATGAACCAACAAATGTCAGCTCAAAGTCCTTTCTGAGGGAACCTATGGCATTTGCAACAATATCATAGCCCTTCAAGGAGAGATCCTCAAAGCTAGCTCGGCCAAACAAGAACACATTAAATTTCTTTACTAAGCTACGCATAGCCGACTGTGATTCACAACAAAACCTTTCAAAGATTCCAGGGGTGATAATCTCCACTACGAGATTTGGCAGACTTCTGGTGTACTTCTGTTGTAGACGTGAGCCAACTGCAACGACTGCATCTGCTGCTTTGCAACATTCGATTTCCATCTTGTGCTTCTTCTCATTCTCTTCAATTGTATCTGTTGTAGCTGTTTTTGTTTTCTTGTACTTTCCTAGGTCTTCACAGCAAACATGAACAAATTGAATCCATTTACACTTTGTATTCTGTACGAGGCAAAATGCAGGACCACCCAGCTTTCTTCCATGGCCTATCACCAGATGTGGATTTGGAAGCTCAGAGGGTGGAGACATCAAGCACGAGAGGGGGTCGACTGAACCAGGTACATTTCGAGCTATGATTAAATTTACACCATGTTCTTTGGCATCTTCTCTATCCTGATCATTACTTTTTGAGACATAGCAGTGGATTTTCATGCTGCCAATCCTCGCTTTTGCCAAGTTAATGGCAAACTCACGATTGAAAGTTGATAATCCACCCTTCAAAGATCTCCACTCATCACAAAGAAACATGACATCAATCTGCCTTTGCTTTTTCTGCTCCTGCAGGCTACTTGCACTGGTTGAAGCTTCTGAAGATGCCATGGTTATTATTACTGTGCTTTTCTTCGCCAACAGAGAACTCTCAATACCCTGAATAACATATTTTGTAGGAATTCCAGAGGACCATACACATCTGGCTGTATCTTGCTCATTTGATGTACTTGTTACTCACAAAGATCTACATGCAATACAAGATAAGTAGACAGTATTAAAGATGCCTAAAAAACACGAAAGTTAATTGTGACGTATATGTGCACAATCCTTCGCAGTAAAGCACTATTTAAGCAATAGTGAAAATCAGACCTGAAAAAAATTCAGGCCTGTACGGGATTCGAATCACTGACCT